TTGTTTACTTATTGAAATTCTTTAATATTGTTTAGGCGGGTGAATGAGTTTATGGCCCATCTAGGGTTAAGTGGTCGCCGGAATGTAATTACGCAATTTAAAATGTGACGTCATCGAAATGCATACATTTAAATAACTCCCAGACTTTCGTTGTACTTTTAATTTAGACTACCAAATCCTTTAATACAAAAATGCTTTTCTTTATAAAATCTTGAATTTATTTGTTGCAATTTTCCAAAATAAATCCATCGTAATCATGATTTATAAAGCTCTAACTAGAGCAATTTCAAAACATTTTTGTACATTTCTTTCATTTGTAACAAGAAAAAAAATTTTTTTTTACCTCACCAAATCCTTGCAAATATCTTGTTCCTTAAACTTGCATGTAAAGAAAGTTTTGTACAACTTTAAACTTAGACAATGTTTTAAACTTGTATCACGATGTAAAGGATTGTTTTGGGGCAACTAAAATATATTACTTCGTTGTTTCGTACAAGTTCTTGAGAGTTTGTTTGCTGTCATATGGGGAACTTCGAACTGATATGAACCTTATTGTATAGTTTATTGAGAAATAAAATGAAAAGTTTCATGTGACGTAAATCAAACGCTCGTAGCGAATATTTTTTCTCTTGTAATCAGAATTCAATCAAAATCATTCACATCCCCAGACTTTGATTCATTTTTTCCATTGATTTGTTATTATTACCTTTTTTATTTAGGAAAAAAATACATAATTAGCATGCTCATTATTGTTTACTTAATATTTTTAAATTTCACAGTGGTTATAATTCTTATACTTAAATACTAACATTGTCAATATATTGGTGGTCTCTTTGTTATTATAAAGTAGTAAAACAATGTTCCGTGTAATATTCCGCCTGCTTTAACTACTGGCGTTTCGACTTCAGGAATAAACCGTATTTCTCCAACACCATATTTTTAAATCATCCTATTCTATCACTATGCTATAGCTAAAGAATAAAAGACACGAAAATGAATAGTGTTTTAATCAGTTTTCATAAGAGATTTATAGTCAAATTATTTTTCTCTCGAAAACTGAGCATAATAAACCTGAGAATAAATCGGAAAAGTAGTTTTTAATCAAGCCAAACTTAGATGTTATGTAGTACGAGTATACTTAACGAGTACTTACTATGTATTTTGAGTAATTATGGCAAATGTATGTATGTATTTAAACATGCGAATGTCAAGAATTGAGCTTTAGCGAGTAATCACAATCGCGTCGGCTGCCACACTCGACGCGTACCGCCACGCATGTACAAACAAATGTTACATTAGAAATTCACAATGCGATTACCTGTCACATTCACAAACAGAGCAACGACGTGACATTGGAACACCGTAGCTTCATATTCACAGCTCTACATATGAATTGGTACATACTTGAATGCATTCGGCTTTGTTCATAAGCGAGAAGTAACAAATTCTCTTCTACTTAATTATAATTTTTTTAATCTCGTATTTGTTACTGTTATTATAAAAAAACGACTTTTCAAACGCTTCGCAGTTTTCGTGACGGCGGATGACTGATAAAACGTAAAAATAGTTCTGACTGTGTCTAGTTGTTTTAATATTTTATTTGTCGAGGTCATAATATTTGAATTGGCGTGTGAAAAAATATATCATTAACGCGTTTCGACTATTCCAGGTCCAAGTTTATGGCCGAAAATGGAATCTCTTAAGGTAGCCCAAGATTGTCTATAATCTATAATCTATAATTATTATTATTAATATTATAAAGAGGAAAGATTTGTTTGTTTGTTTGTATTGAATAGGCTCCGAAACTACTGAAACGATTTGAAAAATTCTATCACTGTTTGGAAGCTACACTATTCCCGAGTAATATAGGCATAGCATCTTTTTTGAAAAATATTAGGGATCCTTACTAAAACTCCAATAGTGTAACCCAAGGTGTAAAAAAAATACCTAAAATATTCTTTACATCGGGTGCCCTGCGAAAACTATTGATGATAGAATAAAATAATGTACTACGACTTTGTAGAACACATTATTATTTACAAAGAGTGTCGCGACAGCGTATCTCTAACTATTATAGTTATGCCGCAATAAATGTTCTTTTATTTAAAAAATAAAACTACGCCAAATATCGTTGAAATTTTTGTTAAAGACCCGAGCGGGGCCGGAGCGGGCCGCTGGTTGTTAAATAAAAATTGAATCAAGACTAAATTTGAATTGAGTCCGAGAATATTGCAGTTCAATTCCAGAAATCGCTATATTAAAGCGAATATGACTTATTGTTCACTAATATAGTGAAAAAATGAAGGCAAAACATTACACAAAGAAAGTACAACGGGCTGTTTTATTTCTAAGAGCGTTTAAATATCTGTACGTACTTATATATGTATATCCATATGTCATTTTGTTTGTCTAAAAATAAAAGTGTTTGATTTTTTAATTTATGGCAGCTGATTATGCATGCTTCTCAAAGCTAAGCTATTTAACGGTAATTTCTGAAAAATAAACACTATTGATCTCATAAAGAAGTTTGATAGTTTGTAAGTACAAGATTTCGAGGATTTTTTTATTATCTTGTGGTTGTGACTACCTTAGCTTGGTAATGCCAATGCACAGATAAGCCGGATCGAAAATGACTAAAATTAGACGTCGTTTGAAGGAAAACCCTCGCGATATTCTGGGAAGAAATTCGTTCCAGATTCGTATAAGGCAAAAATGATTTTTTGGGCTGTGAGACAACGAAATTCTAAGTAGGAGGAATGAACTAGGGTCCAACGAATATTATTTGATGGTTGTTGAATATCTTTATTAAACAAAATTTTCAGCGTACATCTTAAGATCTAGTCCTTAATTTAATGTATTTTGTTCAACTAGAACGCACATAAAAGTTGATTAGAACAGTAACTGTTGTAAAGCGCTACATCTCGTTTTCAAGATTACGAAATGTGGTACTTTTGAGTTTAATTTCAAAAGATTATGACAAATGTCAGTTTCTCTTTGTTGTTACTGTGAAAAGGACTTAAAACTAGAAAATTAAAATTGGGTTAGACCTAGAGATGGGTCGAACTAGGTAATTCAGATACTAGGTAAATCAGATCCTCCTGTTCCTAATCTTAAGATATACCTAATCCACATAATCTTCCTAATCTCATTCACAACCAATACTTTACTTAGCAAGCAATCTCAATCTGCCTATTCCTAATTTCAGGTTCTGAGTTCGTTATTGGAATTTGATTAATGTGATTCTTGGATCATTATTTGAATGATTAGGATTAGGCATTTAGGGATTGTGAGATACGTTACAACGTGTAAGTGAGTGAGATAGCGCAGGTACAGGTGGGAGCGTAAGCTAAACATTCGATTTTATGTTTTAAGAATAGGAAGATAAGGTGGAACAGGTGGATTATACACATTGACAAAATGGGATTAGGTACAGCCTAATCTCGTAAAACACCTAATACTCGGGTCTGTTCCAATAAATCTGACTCATCTCTAGTTAGACCATCAGATTTAACAGTAGTTATACTCACTTTGTCGCAAAAAGTTTGATGTAGGCAAATCAAACAAACAACAATAAAGAGAAAGTCTAATATAAAAAAGTGTAAAATTGTAAATAGATCAAAATGTAAAAAACATATATCTAAGAATGTAATACTTATACTTATGGGAAACAAAGGTTATATTATTATTATTATTTGTGTATGTTTATTTTAAATCTTATTAATTAAATAATATTTTTTAAAAGAGATATTAAAAATACAATTTTAAAAAAACACTATATACAAATAGATTGCCGCTGATGGCGGTGTCTATGACGCAAGCCACCAGTAGTTAGGACTCCAGAGTGAGAAACCTCCTCACAATGCGTGCAGTATCGAGGATAACTGCTTTCTATATTAGGCTTGCAACCCAGCTGGATAACAAAAGTTTCTTAAGATGTTGATCGAAACTTTTTGCTATCAAACCGTGTACCGACACAACTATTGGAACAATGACGGTTGAATTAACATGTCACATGGCGGTAGTCTCGTGGGCCAGGTCTAAATATTATTATTATTATTATACTCACTTACTTATGTTTATGATCTACTTCTAAAAAGATGTATTTAAATGATTTATGTGTGCTTCACAATATTGCGCAATGAATTTCCCTTCTCGGTTTTCCTTGACGCGAATACAAGATCTGCTTATCCTCATATTTCGTATAAAAAAGTGCTAGAGAGAGGAGGAACGCAGCAACTTAGCTGCTCACCGGTATTGCCGTCGTCTATCTGGGAGAACTATTTCTACAACATCTACACATTCATACAATAATAGATTCAGCTGCCTACGTTATAGATCTTGTAATTAAATAAAAACGTTCCATATCCACATTAGATTTAAGGAAATCGCTCTCTTGCTCTGAGATCTTAATTAAAAAAATTGTATCTAAAATTTTTATCCTCTGATAAATTCACGTTGTTTTTTCTATGGGCTCCAATATTCAATTAACACCAGACGGTCCATAAGCTCGTTAAGCCGTCTAATTCAACGAAATTTCAAAAAGTGTTTGGAAAGTACATAAAAAGAACCGGAATTCAAGACAGGACGAATTCCGGGAACTCTACTGTTAACAAAATATAACTGTTAATAAGTTAACAAAAACAAACAAAATAATACTCAACGAGTTCTTCTTACTACAAATTTTTACTTTTAATGAGTTTCCGATATCTTAATAATTAATCTCTAAAAATCGTGACATGAACTTCGTTAAATAATAAAATTTATTATATTTAAAACACTGAAATTGACTTGCAGTTGAATCGGGATTGTGTGTGTGTATGTGTGTGTGTGTGTGTGTGTGTGTGTGTGTGTGTGTGTGTGTGTGTGTGTGTGACAAGTATTCGAAGTAAAAAATCACTACCATTTCGTGAAAAAATTAAAGATTTTCTTTTGAATCGAGTGTATAATTGTTTGCCTTATTTCTTCTCGACAATGCAAATTAAATGGTGATTTGTTGACAGCCGACGTTATGCAACGAGCGCTCGTGTCTTGGCAGTCTGATGGCCATCCCGGGACGAGGCGACGTGCCCCGGGACCCGGAGGAGGTGCTTAATGACGCAAAGGACTTTCTAGGCCAGTACTTCGCTTCTATACGGAGGTGAGTTTTAATATACAAAACAGGTAACTGGAAAGTAGTCTGTGTTAGCTCAATTAAAAAAAAAAAGTTTAGTAAAGATAAGTTTAACAGTGACATTCCGTAATTGCTCATTATCGTATCAAAGTATAAGTTAACACAAGTTTTTGACTGTCAAAAGTAGATAGATGCATTTACATCTTTCAGAGTAAGTGACTACTGATACTTGTAACGTATCTGAGATGCAAGGGGCGTGAGTGTACCACAAAGAAATTAACTTTAAACAACAAAAAAATATATATTATATCGTTATGGAAGCACTAAGGAGGGTTTTGGTCTTTAGTAAAGGACGAGACATCGAAAAATAGTTTTTAATATACCTCTGTAAATGAAAGCATTTGCTCTATGTAATTATGAACTCTCAAAATATACGACGTAGTTATTAGAAATAATTATTCAAAGCGCTCTCTGTATTTATGTGTATTATCTATGCTCTGTATTCCAATTTCCAATTTGTGGTAAAAAACGAGGGAACTTAAACGCCTCTACGTAGAGCCGAAATCTCCAAACGAATGTAACTTATAAAGATAATTTGTGTAGTCGAAATTATGTTTCAAAATTTTCAAGACTAATTTAAATAAGCCTATCATAGAAGCGTATATCTCTCGAAAGCCCGAAGCGAGTGTAGGTTACGAATAATCGTAAAATACAACTTTTTGTTTCATACGAATATTATGTAAATCGGTGCCACTTTTTCCGAGTGCCAAGTTTATGTATACGTGTCCCTGCCGTTTTGTAAAGCCTACTAACATTTATATTTCTTATCGTAATTTTTTCGGTGGAGTATTTTCATTCACCGAGGCAATCACTTATATTTTCATTCACTGGCAGCGAAACGACTGTGAAGGATTTAGAAAAAAAATCTTTGCCTACAATTCCAATGCTTTAAGAGTATTATGACAATTAAACATAGTGCATTTTACTATTTACTATAACATGTTCGATTATTTTACATTATAAATAAATTGTTTATTCCGTACCGCTTAAATTACAATCATAATTAAAAACGATATGCTTAAAGTTTTATCCCGACCACATTCTTTTTTTGGATTTTCGCTAAATATATAAATAGCCGATAATATGCTGAAATTACTGGCCGCTATCTATTGTACATTGATAGTATTAAGACAAAATAAATCCTTAACGATCAAATCTTCATAGTCACAACTCAATTGATTAAAATATGTCCGTCTAGAAATAAAGGTAACAAAATGAACAGTAATACAATAAATGACTTATCCATATACTTACCAAAACAAATGTTCTCAGGGCCAATACTCCAGCTCATGAAGCTCGCTGGAAAATCGTACAAGAAGAAGTAGCTACGACCGGCACATACCAACTAACCACAACAGAACTGGTATTTGGAGCCAAGCTTGCATGGAGAAACGCTAGCCGTTGCATTGGCAGAATCCAGTGGTCAAAATTGCAGGTATGTTAAAGAATATCTCCATTTTAAGCTCATTAAATTGAATCATCACCAATGTGAATGATATTATGATTTTTCAATCTGTTTTTGTCACCCAAAAACAGATGGCGCTGAAGCATCAATTAAGGACGTTTATTCAAATGACAACTTATTCATTTAAAAAATGATTAATTAAGTAATTTTTTTTGGAACACTGCAGACTAAGTTAAGGCGTTACCAGCGGGTAGAGGCACTAAATGAATTTGCTCTCTCTCTAATGAGAAAACTCTCATTTTGAGACGAGAAAAAAAGCATAGGCAATTAAGCTGTCGTTCCGTTCTGGTTTGCGTTTAGTTTTCTCGTACTAAAATAATTATTTTTCTTTTAAGGCTCTTTAAATGTTTTAGTTAACACAGAATTACTCTACTTGCATCATTTTCTTTCCTTAATTTGAAAATCGTATTTACGAATTTAATGTTGTTGTCTGGAATTAGTAAAATTATTATACATTTGATATGTAATAGTATCTACTATAGATTTTTTTCTACGTAACTAGATATATTAATGGTATTAATAGTATCACTAGTATAAAAAGTTTTGGTAATATTCGGGGTCTCATTTTTTGGAAAGAACTTCCTTATGAGACGATGCGGAGGGGTACCCTAACCGGGAAAAAACGTCCGTAACGTAAGATTTTAGTTAGCACACAGTGTACGGCTTAACTTTGTAATAACGTACAAAAAATAACATATTTTTTTATCATTCATTGACCACGATCTTAGAGAGCAACCGTGAATGAAGTGTTTCACAATAAGTTCGCACATTACCGAATGACCGTGGGTTGTTGCGAAACTCCAGCTTTATTTTCTTTATGCCTCGAAAGTTAATATTTTTATAATAAGGAAATTCGTTCCTATCCGGTGTCCCACGACACCACACATCTTTTTTAAATTTAAATGGAAGGTTTCATCACTGAACTTTAAATATTGAGATTTATTAATCGACAGAGAAACGACATAAATTCTTTCAATCATTTCAATCGTTCATTCCCACTTAGTCTCTTTCGTTAGCTGTCTCGAGAATGCGAGGGTGTCTTAAATAAGCATTACCGGACTAAGATAGTTTAAACGTCGACCAAAGAGATGCGTTAAATTTATATTTCGTGGATTTTAAGATTGTTCTTTCAGTTGTGGTGCTTAAGCGCTATTTCGTAGTAAATGGTAGTAATTTTAACGTGCCATAATAAATATACCAATCAATCAGATGTTTAATTATTTGTAAAAGAGCAATATTTTTGTAGATATAAATCCAATTTAGTATCTCATTTTTAGTAGTAAGGTTTTCTTATGATCGTTAAGAACAACAAAGACAGATTGGCAACATGTGCAATGTAGTACAGTCTAATTTTCAATGTCTTTCGTAATGGTAAACTTGTTTTGGAGAATTAATTTAATTGGCTTATGAAGTTTTAAAATGTAATGCAATATATTTTAAAATTATTAATGTACATTGTGATGGGACGTAGTTATCTTATCTTATACATTTAAACGAGCAATTCTTGTATATTAATATATATCTATATAATCTGAATCTCGCAAACGGCTCCAACGATTTTCATAATATTTAGTATACAGGGGATTTCGTTGGCGATAAATCGATCTAGCTACGATTTATTTTCAGAAAATGTTGTTTTATTCGTGTTTTCAATAATCAACTCTTCCCGACATCTATTGGCGAATAATAATACTATTTTTCTTAATTGAGGGCAACTAACCTCTTTAAAGACAAAACAAGATGGCGCTATCAAAAAAAAATCCTCTAGTCATCCTCTAGTTTTATATAAAGTAAGTTAGCGTTGAATTTATATGACGCCCGTGAACGATGACGTCATTATTTAATGTAGTAATTTCAGACTTAAATGTTACTATTGCCTTGAAATCAATTCGTTGCGTTTATATTTTGAGTGGTATAGCACGCACGTTTTCTAATAAATCTTATATTAAGCAAGTTTAATGTGGTTCGCGTCAATATTTACCATGAATTATTCTCCACGATTCCTCCTATTACTTTTGGCACGAAGCTCACATTTTCAATCATAACAAAACCTAAGTTGATCCTTTAACCGGGCAGCCCTAATCCGCTTAGTGTGCGACAAAGTTTAATCTTACCGATGTTCACAAATACATTTTGCAATTACGCGACTTAAACAAATAGATTGGTTGCGGTTTATCGAAATGATCGAGTCGATTGTATCGTTTTGTAATTGGTTTCTTGTCGCTTCAGAGTTTCAGGCTACGCTAAATTCGCGGCTTATCCGTGTTACGGTTAAAGACTGTTGGATTAAGCTCCGAATGGATGTGTTTGTTGATCAATTTAATCCGAAGATAAGTAATGAAATTCAATTGGCAGTTAAGTTATATTACACGAATAATTGATTGAATGATAGTAACTTTGCACGTATCGAGCTAATGTAGGTACTCATTCGATTTTTATGTTTTATTGACAGAATATTATTATATGTATATCAAAATAGATACTATAAAAGTTGTTTTGTAAAAACTTAACGTAGATACGTAGAGACGTAGGTCTCAAGGTGGATGGCGACGTTTACGTTGTTGATGTCTACGGGCTCCGGTGACCATTTAACACCAGATGGACCATCAGCTCGACCACCTATCTTAGCAATAAAAAGTACATAATATTAATCTACTAAGCGCTATTTTTTTCATTATTTCATGAAATTATTTTGACTTTTTAGGATTGTACCTAATTAAAACAAATGTCACTCATTGGATCTCTAGTACATCCATCTCTTCGTAATTATCTTTAGATATATACTAGCTTTTGCCCGCGACTTCGTCCGCGTGGAATAGTTACTTTGGCATGACGCTAAATTTTACCCGCGACTTCATTTACAGTACTCAGGATTGGAACTTCGTTACTGAACCGGTAGATGGCGTTGGAGAAGCTAGATTTTGAGATTTTTTGACAAACAATCTTTTAATTTTTCTTAAAAAATAATTTTTTTTTTCTTAATAAAAAGTATCCTATGTTACTTCTAATACCTCCAAGAATATTTGTACAAAGTTTCATGATGATCGGTTGAGTAGTTTTCGCGTGAAAGCGTAACAAACAAACTTACATTCACATTTTTATATTAGTAGGGATTAAACTTTCTAAAATATTGCAGTAACAATCAGGACAATCAATTATTGATTTGATTAAATTCCGTGAGGCTATCAATAACGGCTTGTTATATTGTAAAGTGGTCGTCAGAGGTTCTCAAAAAGCCTATCGAGACATCACTTAAGCAAAACATTTATTTGGCTTCGATGAGAGTGAAGTGTCATTTCATCAAACGTCGAGTGCCAATTTAATCTTCATAATTGATCTTAAGTACTTTTTTGCCGCATTAAAATTAAAAATCACTACATAGTATTAAACAAAGTCGCCTTTTCTGTCCCTATATCCCTATGTATGCTTAAATCTTTAAAACTACGCAACGGATTTTGATGCGGTTTTTTTTAATGGATAGAGTGATTGAGTAGGAAGGTTTGTATGTATAATAACATCCATTAAATAGTGGGGAAATCAATAATAAATTACAGTTTCCGAAGCGAAGCGAGGGCGGGTGGCTAGTACAGTTTTTTTTTATTTATTTTTTTATTGCTTAGATGAGTGGACGAGCTCACAGCCCACCTGGTGTTAAGTGGGTACTGAAGCCCATAGACATCTACAATGTAAATGCGCCACCCACCTTACGATATAAGTTCTAAGGTCTCAAGTATAACTTCACAACGGCTGCCCCACCCTTCAAACCGAAACGCATTACTGCTTCACGGCAGAAATAGGCAGGGTGGTGGTACCTACCCGCGCTGACTGACAAGAGGTCCTCAGCGTACTCACCAGTAAATACGCAAATTATAATTTTGCGATTTCGGTCTCCTTTTCCAAGTTTGATACGGGCATTAATGTTGACTGGCTTGAGTACTTTATATTACATGGTTCTTGTAATCATCTGTTCACCTAGAGGAGAAAGGACTTTATTTTAATTAATTTTTTTAAAGGTATTCGATTGCCGCCAAGTTACGACAACTAGTGGAATGTTCGAAGCACTCTGTAACCACATCAAGTACAGCACAAATAAAGGAAATATAAGGTAGATAATGCTTTTTCTTAACTGTCTAAATATACTTTCGTGTCTTATACACGCATGAAAAGTTTTTTTTTTGTTTATTGCTTAGATGGGTAGACGAGCTCACAGCCCACTTGGTGTTAAGTGGTTACTGGAGCCCATAGACATCTATAACGTAAATGCGCCACCCACCTTGAGATATAAGTTCTAAGGTTTCAAATATAGTTACAACGGCTGCCTCGCCCATCAAACCAAAACGCATTACTGCTTCCCGGCAGAAATAGGCGGGGTGGTGGTACCTACCCGTGCGGACTCACATGAGGTCCTACCACCAGTAATGGATGGATGTTTAGATGGGTAGACGAGCTCACAGCCCTCTTGGTGTTAAGTGGTTACTGGAGCCCACAGACATCTAAAACGTAAATGCGCCACACACCTTGAGATATAAGTTCTAAGGTCTCAAGTATAATTACAACGGCTGCCCCACCCTTCAAACCGTAATCACCGTAATTCACCGTAATTCAATCAACTTTCACCGTAATCAAAAACTATCATTTAATTCACAGATCAGCTATAACATTGTTCCCACAACGTACGGACGGCAAGCACGACTACAGAATATGGAATAGCCAGCTGATCAGCTACGCTGGCTACCGTCAGCCAGACGGTACGGTGCTTGGTGACCCCATGCACTGCGAATTCACCGATGTAAGTCCCCAAAACGGATTAAATCAAACTAGAATTTAACTTTTTCCATATCGGCTGTCAAAGCCTGCTGCGAAGCTGCCCTTCTGTTAAAATTTAGAAATCAAACTAGACATGTTTCGCCAGTTAAAGCAATTGAAATACACAGTAAAGTTTCACGATGAAAGGGCGTCGGTAATCTTGTTGTCGTGATAGTATAACCGAAATATAAAAATTATTGTGAATTGGTGCATTCGTATGAAGCGATGCACCGGTGTTCGAATCCAGCTGGCGGGTACCAATTTTTCTAATGAAATACGTACTCAACAAATGTTCACGATTGACTTCCACGGCGAAGGAATAACATCGTGTAATAAAAAATCAAAAACCCGCAAAATTATAATTTGCGTAATCACTGGTGGTAGGACCTCTTGGGAGTCTGCACGGGTAGGTACCACAGCCCTCGCCTATTTCCGCCGTGAAGCAGTAATGCGTTTCGGTTCGAAGGGTGGAGTAGCCGTTGTAACTACACTGAGACCTTAGAACTTATATCTCGAGGTGGGGGGCGCATTTACGTTGTAGATGTCTATGGGCTCCAGTAACCACTTAACATCAGGTGGGCTGTGAGCTCGTCCATCCATCTAAGCAATAAAAAATAAAAAAAAATACTTGTTACGTTAAATTTATTAATGAATTAAAGGATTAAATTACTGGTTTTAAGACATCACTCATATTATGATTTTGAAGTTGGCAGTAAACTCGTCCTTAACAATTACAATTAAATAATTAAAGTTTATCAACTCGCAATACAAGACATTAATATGGCCGTCTGGTGTAGTGGTAAGTGACATGGTCACTACACAAGGGGGTCGCGGGTTCGAATCCCGCCACGGGAAGATATTTGTATGATAAATATAAAAATGTCTTTTCCAGGGTTGTGGATGTATATTAAATATAATATGTATGTGTATAATAAAAATATTACATTTATTTCCGTTATCTGGTACCTGTAACACAAGTTCTTTACGAACTTACCACGGGACCAGTTAACGTGGCGTGATTGTTAGTAAATATTTATCTATTTATTTATAATATGACACAAGCAAATTCAGTTACGTATTTCGTTTTAAAAACCAACACACAGTCAATTAATTGATAGACCGTGTTAATGTTTTATTAACATTAAATTAATGATAATTTTTCAAAAGCTACAAGCCGCATTAATTATTACCCGTAATAAATTCACCACAAAAAATGCGAAACAAACAATCTAGTTATCCTTTAATGTAAATCACGTATCAGATTTGTTTGAAAGCTTTATTAGCGCGATTTAATATCGGATGATTGATGGAACTCTAGTGATTGCAAATTTCACTATAGCGTTCATTGCTCAGTGAATATGTTCTATGTTTTGCGTACAATCCATTTAATAACATTGTCAACATCGCTGACATATGACAAAAACGCCGACAACATGATTCAATAGGATTCGATTCGAAGTCCTGTCATAAAATATCAAATTTAAATGTATATGCTTTACTATCGATATCTCTTAGTAGTTAATATTCTGTCTCTGGAAATATCTCTCTGTTCAGACGAGACTCGAGAAAAGTCCGCAGAAGCAGATAGGTAAGCAACTAGCATTGCTGATATGACAGTGTTGACTATTTATTACCAAACCGAAAAATCAACTACCACTACGAGATACTATTATCGATCGAGAAATGCAACGATAAAGTCTAAATGTAGTTGGCACAATATTCATGATAACGAACATTGGAAAGTGTTCGAAATTCTGAAAATAATTAGTGAAATTATTATACCCCTACCGTAAAAAATAATGAAAAGAATACTAAAAGAACATTACGACTTAACTCATGTTTTTCAAGTCAACTAATACTTTTCGACATTTGGGCAAATCAATCTGGCGAGTATCAAACACTTCGAAACCAAATTTTTTTTTAATGCAAATACAAAAGAAATACGAACTAATAGCTTAACATTAAAATATTAATGCCGTCCACATCACCATAACACAGCGCCGCGTCGCCTTGTGTAACAATCTGATGCGCACTTTGGAGTTTCAAGGGAAAAAACTCACACCGGAACTGAATTCGCTCTGTCGTAAAATTGCCGTCATACCGTAAGAGAGCATACGAAAGCAGTCCTCTTGTATAAAAAATTACTAAAGTAACAGAACGCTCATGTCACTAGAAGACTATAAAGTACTAGAATTTTATGATCTTGTCCAAATTGAACTGAACAGGCTATTATCATTGTAGGAATCTAAATTCCCAAAAAAAAAAAGTTTAAAATAAACTAAAAAACACGCTTTATATAAAATTCAACTAAAAATACAAAATAAATTTTAATAAATTTAAATTGAAAATAGTGTAAAAAAAATTATTTTATTTTAAAAAAAGCGTGGGGTGCATGGTGTTGCTAGTTATAAATATCTTTCTGACAGATATGAGTAGAAGAATTATTATTTCAATAATATCTTAAAAGCACCCCACGCTTTTTTTTTAATTAAATATATTTTTTTACACTACATTCTATTTAAATTTATTAAAATTTATTTTCAATTTTTTTGTTGAATTTTATATAAAGCGTGTTTTTTAGTTTTTTTAAACTATCATTTATTTTTCATTTTTTAGTTAAATTTTCTATAAAAGCGTATTTTTAAGACTATTAAGTACTTTAACATCAATTCCTGCCTTATCGACAATAGATAAAAAATATATAAATTGGCAAAAACCTTATTTTGCAAATTGAATAATGGAATAATCTTATCAAATTAGTGTATTGTCATTGGTCCTCGATAAATCTATAAAGTTTCAATAAAATCTGGCCGTTTAAAGTGGGTCGAAATCGCGTCTAAAGGATTCAGTTACAAACATACAAACATACATATAAGTGAAGCTATTATAAAGCGTGTAATTAGACTTAACTATCGAGCTACCTAAACAGAAGTAGTGTTGTAAAAAAGTTTGTTAATATAATATGTACAACGGACGCGTGTACTGTATCACGTAAATCATTCTGTATGTGACGTATTTGATTACGCCCGCACCTGTTTTTTCTCGTATGATTTTTACACCAACTAAATTTATTATGCGGAAAAATATGTGGCGAAACACTTTTCAGATACTTTTCAACTTAAAAATTACACATCCTTGGTCACGAAATATGAAAATTCGAATAAAACAAATGAAAAATACTGACATGAATATGCTTACCGACTTGCGGTATAGTCAATGGAAAGAATAGAGATAAAATTTATATTAATTCCCCAATTCATTTCATTAATAGTATGTTGGTCTTCAAATAGTTTTAATTATGACGGCCGTCTGGTGTAGTGGTAAGTAACATGGTCACTACACCAAGGGGTCGCGGGTTGAAATCCCGCCAAGGGAAGATATTTTTATGATAAATATAAAAAAATGTATTTTCCAGCGTTATGGATGTATATTAAATATATGTATGTGTATAATAAAAATATTACATTTATTCCGTTATCTGGTACCTGTAACAGAAGTTCTTTACGAACTTAGCACGGGACCAATTAACGTGGCGTGATTGTTACTAAATAAATAAAAAGAAAAAAATTATTATAATACTTTAGTAATTAAAAATTCTACAGCTCTGCTTGAAACTTGGTTGGAAGCCGCCACGCACGGCCTGGGATATTCTTCCCCTAGTTCTGTCAGCTAACGGGAAAGACCCTGACTACTTCGAAATCCCCAGGGAGCTTGTTATGGAAATCCACATGACGCACCCCACGTGAGTACTTTATTGTTGATTTAACCATCTTTGTCGAGCATTAGTAAGCAGTGTACTTACTGTAGTGCTGGACAAGGAAAATTGTCTTTGTGTATTTAAAATTCCCAAAGAGTAAAATGACTCAGTTAATTTTATGATTTTACCAAATTTTTCCACGATCTGCTGATACCGGACTTTCTTCTATTTCTTAATCAGGACCGTCTATTTCTTAATAAATATAGGTTAAAAACAACCAAAAAAATAATAAATAATGATGATTCTGGTCAGGATTTCAAGTCATACTAAAGTCTATATCTATCTCTACAGATACTAAATTCATAAATTATTGTAATAACGCCGATTATTGGTACGTGTTAAAATCTTCAAGATATCCAAATTTCAGGAAGTAGGTGAAAATTGCGTTAAAAGATTTCATTACATTTACATAAATACCTAAATACAGATCAAAGTAATAAAAATATATTAATAAAGTTAATGTATTACTTATGTCGAATACCCAGTCTCCATACCCATCTCTTAATTGATAGCTGAACAGAGCATTAGAATTATGATTTTTTTTATTGCTTAGATGGGTGGACGAGCTCACAGCCCACCTGTTAAGTGGTTAGTGGCGCCCGTAGACATCTACAACGTAAATGCGCCACCCACCTTGAGATATAAGTTCTAAGGTCTCAAGTATAGTTACAACGGTTGCCCCACCCTTCAAACCGAAACGCATTACTGATTCACAGCAGAAATAGGCACGGTGGTGGTACCTACCCGTGCGGACTCACAAGAGGTCCTACCTCCAGTAATTACGCAAATTATAATTTTGCGGGTTTGGTTTTTATTACACGATGTTATTCCTTTACCGCGAAGGTCAATCGTGAACATTTGTTGAGTACGTATTTCATTAGAAAAAATGCTACCCGCCTGGGATTTGAGCACCGGTGCATCGCTCAACACGAATGCACCGGACGTCTTATCCTTTAGGCCACGACGACTTCAAAAGACTATGATCTTCTGGCCTAACAACCAACACAACCTCCCCAGCAAACAACACCGTGTTTCCGCATCATTAAAGTACTTACTCGAGTAGATTTACGTAAAATTTACAGGCAGGCAATAAATATTTATCGCATTAGAGTAAACGAGATTATCCCCGATCGGAGGACTACTTTGTTGAACTTAAATTTGTTTCGGAAGAAACATTGGAACAATTGTCCCGGGAGATTTATTGCAATTTAGTTTTGTTGTATCGTTTATATATTAAATATATCGTTTGTAAGGAAGTTTGTTAAATACGAGATTAATCGCTCGTGAAGGATCCTGTTCTCTCACAAGGCAAAATGTGAAATTTCAGAATTACAAAGTCTTAACGGCACTATAAAATGTCGGTAATTATTGTAGTAAGAAGCTTTTTGAAGTTACAATGATGCCATATTATAAATTAAATAAACATTTTAAAATACTATAAAGACGCATTATTACATTTAAAATCCAAATACAGCTCGCATAAAATCATTTAGCACACTATATGTACATATTTTTCACAATGGGATTGATTTAAACAAATAAAAAAGTATAATATCCATATGTAGAAACCACCAGAGAACAAAGCGTTTGTTTGGAATTCAGAGCTTAATGTAGTCTGTCGATTTTTGTAAAAGTTAAAAAAAAAATATCTTTCAAATTTCAATGAGCTCTTTTCGCGTTATGTTCTCTTCCCAATAATGTTTAATGCGTCGAACCTCGAAAAATGTCTAGACAACCTAATAATTTAGGTACAAAAGACTTTTTTCTCTATCTCCGATAAATCTGGAGATTGTTCTTTAGTAACAAAAAGGCGCAGATAAGGTCAAAGATTTACGACAGAACAGTGTATATTACACGACTAAGTTAGGAAGGAACACTGGGAACGTCGTTTTCCATCACGGATTTATGTTAACATAAAAAGCCGAGGAATGCAAGTGTGTTGAGGTAAAAGCCTGCAAATACGTGAATACGCCATCCAAAGTGGATTGCTGCTCGTAAAGTTTGGTCCAGTGATCTCCAATCTGTGTTTATAGGTGCTAAATCTTATGCCTTCAATGATGTGTTTATATTGATAAAGTTAACTACCGTTAATGCCCGATAAGAAAAACTGACTGTATACTATTAAAATGGCAGTTGAAAAATAATCTTGCTTTGCTCGTAAATTGGCGTGTTACCTATAATAGAAACTAAAATTTAATTTCCCAGTGCATTACGTATAACCGATACTAGTTTGCTAGGAAATATCCGTGAGAGTTTCTAGTACACTGTTCTTTTTTTAGTTTTACTAGTTATTTTTCAGACCGTACAATATCAATATGCTATCCATTAAAAGTATTAATTACAGTCTATTGTGTTTGATTTGTTACATCATCATCATCAAACGAAACGATAGCAAAATAAGACAAATGTAATTTATTTTTTACATAGACTAGAATACTAAATTAGGACTGCAAAGATGGATATATAAAGTTTTACCAGTGTTAATATTGAAGTATGTTCGTTGGATCGTATGAAGCACATAATTAACTGATAGATTCGATAAAGTTGCCCACTCTCGCCATAAAAGTTTCCTTATTAAGTTATAAAGCTTCCAGGATCGGAACGGTATTTTTGTAGACCGTTGCTACTTTAATAAAACATAGTTGATCATTAAAAATGTATTTGTTGTAAAATTTCATCATAGTTATGAAAGGGATTTACGGATTTTTAGTTTAACATTGGAAATTATCATTTTGTTAGGCCCGATTAAATTATTTTTTTCCTACCTATGGTAATAGCCTTGAGAGGCTATTTCAGCTTCGCCGTAACGTTTGTAGGTGAGCTCGCGGGGCTCATACCGGAGAGTTGCTAACACTGACCCTAGAAAGAGCAGTGCTTCGTAGAATCTACCACCGGATCGGAAACGCGACCCACTGAGAAGATCCGGCGAGAAACTCAGTGGGCTGTATCTGTGGGTTAATTCGCTCGTCGAGCCCTTCGTCGCAAGCAACGGGTTCGACGAGGACGGTGACCGGTGCTTGTGGTACCGATTCAATTAAGCAAACATTTTGTATTTGTATGTCTTTGTTCTATAAAATGTTTGGATCTGTTTTCTAGATGTATCTTTATGTTTATTGTAATATTTTGCCCAACAGGTTCGAATGGTTCAAAGAACTAGAATTACGTTGGTACGCTTTGCCCGCCGTCTCCAGCATGCGTTTTGATTGCGGTGGCATCGAATTCACGGCCAACGCTTTCAACGGTTGGTACATGAGCACCGAGATCGGCTGCAGGAACTTCTGTGACACCAACCGGCTTAATGTTTTGGAGGTGTGTATTACAGCTATTAACTTTAATGAACGTTCTTGAACATTATGAAAATTTGCGATTCCTTATTTGAATTTGGTGGTCTTTTCGTTACTTACTGTACTCCTCTTAAAATTATTTTTTGCTCCCAAACATAATTAATCGATTCGTATTCTTTGCTTTTCATTTTTATTATATACTAGCGGCCCGCCCCGGCTTCGCTTGGGTAGTAGCGCACGCGGTGTAAAGAATTTTAGGTAATTTTTTACACATTCGGTTACATTATTGGAGTTTCAGTAAGGATCCCTAATTTTTTTGAAAATATAATAAATATAGCTTATGTCACCCGGGGATAGCGTAGCTTTCCAACAGTGAAAGATTTTTTCAAATCGCTTCAGTAGTTTCGGAGCCTATTCAATACAAACAAACAAACAAATATTTCCTCTTTATAATATTAATTATAATTATAATTATCATAATTAAAATCTCAATAAGTGTAATAATAAGCATATCAAGAAGCATGTTGTAAAATAATAGAACAATTATCAATAATAGTATTAAGTTAACCCGTTTATGTTATAACTTATTTTCTTCAATTTGATTTGATTTGATTTGATTTGACTTATTGCCTGTTTAGTGTTTGCTAGCATTCAATATTCGTGTTCGAAATGATCGAAATTCGTCCAAAATCACTAACACGTCAAGATTTAGATTTATTTTATGTACATACATATTCATTTTTGTCTTGTTGTTGACATTTAAGAACAAACTGAATACATTTTTTAACTTATAGGAACAAAGCTTGTAAATAGCTACTAAGCGAAAGAAAAAGAATGTCAGTTGACAATTGGAGGAGATAATGGTACTTCGTAATATAGTAGTGATATTTTCTTAAACCAAAACAAGATTGAAGTCTCAGGACTATAAATATAACCGTCTCTGCCACCTTTCAAAACGAAATAAATAAAGGTTTTTCGGTAGGAATAGGATATTGGTTTCTATTCGTACGGATTTCCAACTTAATATACCTCAGGTAATAGATTCCTTACCACCCGTGCTTTCTCATACAGAAAATAGCTCAGAACATGGGCCTAGATACCAGAACTCCTGTCAATCTTTGGAAGGATAAGGCCCTCGTGGAAGTGAACGTGGCTGTACTGCACAGCTTTCAACAGCACAACGCGACTATCGTGGATCATCATACAGCTTCTGAAAGCTTCATAAAGCATTTGGATAACGAGAACCGGCTTCGGTAAGTTTATTAATTTTATATATTTTCTTGCCTCTGTGGCTATACGTGCTCACGGCTCACCTGCCGGGAATCACGTCTTAAATTTCGCCTTATGATATCTATGAGCTCCGATGGCTACTTACCTGGAAATTTAACTTGGGTAAATAATTTCAATTTTGTACTATCTCTTAATCGAGAATTAGTGGTATATACAAAAAAAAATCGAAACGTTAGCCGCTGAAGTAGGTACTGTTATTGTGATATTACATTGTATTTCAATTTAAAGTTGCAATGTAGTACAAAGTTGTTTTATAAACAACTAATGACTTGACAGTTTTTACGTATGTGTGTAACAGATTCAAATGCTTTTTCTGTTGTAAAAATGTTCCATTAAAGAGAACTAGGAGTAATTGCGATAATTTCACTATTTTATTGTTTTACTGTTAAAACTGGAAGGAGAAATCCATGAATGAAGTAATCTGGAAATACACGCTGGATCTATCTAAGGCCTACCCTAGGCTATAAGGTCTAAGTCATGATAATGACAATTACATTATACCTACTATTTGGGATCAGTGCTTTTATTCACAAAGATCATTTTTGCTACATGTGTACGTGTTTTGGTTGCATTGCGTGTTTTACATAGACAATAAAGTGCTTAAATAACTTTCGTTTGATGCTGGGAATTTTTTTAAGGAAGAATTTAACCACAATCGAACCGAAGATAAGTGAGATAAAACCGTTTTGTAGTTTTTGTGGAATAATTCTTTGAGACCCAAATGACTTTATAATATCATTGGAAAGTCCGAATCCGGGACAAACCAGATTGCCATGGCGATTAATGACACACAAATCTCTTGAACTATAAAAACGTTTATTAAACTCTTGTCTCGGTATGTTCTAACTCGTTTTATGATAAAAAAAATTGTTGTCCAAAGCACATCTGATTCCACTTCTCCATTCTCACAAATATACCAATTCTTATCTTTGCATCTAATTTCTATCGCTATACTTTATTTCTAGAACTTATTGTAAGTATGTATCCTATGTACCGGCAAAATCTTTATACCAATATCCGTCGTAAAAATCACACGGAATCCATGATGGATGCTATTTAGTAGTTTAATATTACTAATGTAACCAACGGCTGTGAGCTCATAGATGCTGATAAAAACTTAACTGCTACATACGAGAGGTTATTCAGGGTTGAAAGTTAGCTATTGATAATATTTCATTGAATTAGTGACATAACTGTGAATTAGTGACATTTAGCTTTTAGTGTCATGTACTACAGTTATCTTTAATATTCTTGGTGCACTTAAACAAAAAAAAAAGATACCAAATCTAATTTCAATGATTTTCTTTACATTTATTTTGAAAATATCCTTTACGCTCGCAATCTGTTACGCCAGTCACAATGTGTTCACTTTAAGTAATATTATACAAGTAAACATAAACAAAAATTGTATTAGAAAAATGTTGTAGGCAAAAATAGGAGCGTTTACAAACAATGAATGAAGATTAGACTCATGTATACAAACACGCAGGTGTATTGGCCTGCCTGTCTCCTTACTGATAGATCGTTCATAAATATTAACTTCGTTTTAAATGTATTTACAAGCACAAAGCTGTGAGGAAAAATAATTTTGGGTTTTCTATAAAAATATTTTTGGGTTTTATAAAGAAGAAATATTTGTTTGTTTGTTTGTTTGTATTGAATAGGCTCCGAAACTACTGAACCGATTTAAAAAGTTCTTTCACGGTTGGAATACTAAGCTGTCCCCGGGCGTCATAAGCTCTATTTAACTTTTGAATTTTAATAATTTGAAACTCCAATAACGTAACCCCAAGTGTAAAAAAATTGCCTTAAATTATTTATATCGCTTGCGCTGCTTCCCAAGCGAAGCCGGGGCGGGCCGCTAGTTGTAAATATTTTAAGAGATTTCTGTTATTGGAAATTGTTATTGATTTTTAGAAAGGATTCAGTTCGCGTTAAGTTGTGTATTATTTATTTGTTTTAGAAGTTAAGCACTTAAATGAGGTCTATTTACTTGGAAATTTTACTCGAAAAATTCCTTAATAACGAGAAATTCCCTAATTTTTTCACTAAGTAACTAACTATCTTTTCGAATAAACATAGAGCGTAGTACATTTCTTGAATGAAGTACGTAATTGCTAACGTCACACGCAAAATGTATGAGAAATATATTAATTACAAACATACTGGCGTTTAATCATAAAACTGTCGTCAATCGATCCTTGGGCCTTGTACAAAACGCAGCATAACATATCATGGACCGGTAATGCCAAAAGTGTGTAACCAAAGAAGTAGTATATATTTCGAGAACATTCTTTCTCAAATGTCGGTCATAAAGTTATTAGCCCTTGTTCTGAATATCTAATTACCTATATTTCACACCTCAATAAGGAGTGATATTAAGTTAAGAAGTGATATTAAGTTGAATTATAATTTGTCTATTTTAATTGAATATCTGATTTTATGTTACGTCCGTTTTTTTAATTAGCTTTATTTCACTAAATAAACCATACATTTTGTTATAATGTGTGTTAATAACTTAAAAATCTAACATATAACTATATGACTATTTATTAAATGATTTTGTTTTGACCCAAGTGCCTGTTGTAAAGGCTATTTATTATTAATTAGCTTAATTATAATCAGTCCTTGGATCTTACTCGGTATGATTTTCAGAATCACACCGACAAAGATATGAAAATTTTAAACATCCAGAATTGATTTGAAAATTTTTAAGAACACATTTTAGCGACTTACACGCTTGCCGAAAACGTTATCACGGACGTACATGTGCCGAGAAGGATATGTAAACAGAATGACCTAACATCGTGTGATTGTTTGGATTTGCGGCTTCACTCGTAGTCTGAACGTACAAGCGCGTTACGTCATTACAGAGATTTACGCAGGGAATATTTCTGTTGTGGTCTGTCGTTTTATCAGAGTAGAAACAAATGGTAATAATAATTCATATGTGGCATCTTTTATGGCATATTGTAACGAAGTTCCTTATCGCGCGTTGTGAAAGGGGGCTAGATGGAAAAAATTCTTACGAAAAATTGTCACGACACTTTTTAGATACGTCATTCTGACCAATCAACGTGTAGGCGCTTATCGCGTGACATTGCTCGTATCCGATTGGTCCGCGTAATGAGTACAGTTTCTCGAGATAGCGTTTCAACAATAGTAATTTAGTTCATAGTATTGTTTTTTTCTTCTTCATAATGCCGTAATTTATTATTATAACTTAAAAAAATTATTACAATTCCTTCACTAATTAATCGAAAGGAACTTCGTTCCATCCGGGTGTCCCTTGACACCTCTGAAGTTTTATTTTTTATTTTTTTATTGATGCACAAAACAAATTGCAATTATTACAGTACATATTAGCTAAATCGTTCTGGATTGCAATTTGAATGGTATATGCACTCAGTAAACCCGTAGCTTTGGCTATTGAAAACACAATTACAAATTACAAATAAAAATTACAAATAAAAATAAAAAACAATACAACCAACACAAACATTATATTGATAACTAGCCATTGTTAAATAGGATATCCTTCACACATCTGACAAATCCCCTGAGTCTAGGTTCAAAGATATCAAGGTCACCGTGGCATCTCAAAAAACGATTTTTACATATATTGTGACTTGATTGTGAATCAGAATAATCTTACACAGACATCGGACTGGCAGTTCACCACATCTTGTGACATAACATTGAATCAATAAGTAAAACTGAAAAGTTAGATAAAAATAAAAACTAGCCAGACATAATATTGTCATTTTAGTAGGTAAAGTAACATACGTAGAAAGCTGGCGGACGGCTTCTTCCTTCCTTCCTTCGGGCTTTTTCTAGTTTTTTTTAAAAATATTCGATTACGTAGGTTATTATACTGTTTAATTAATTTAAAACGAATAGAGAAATCGTTCACAATTCGAAATCTATATATATAAAAATGAATTGCTGTTCTTAGTGTCGCTTAAACTCGAGAACGGCTGGACCGATTTGGTTAATTTTGGTCTTTAATTATTTGTGGAAGTCCAGAGAAGGTATAAAAGGTAAATAAATATGAAAATGCTCGGAATTAAATAAAAATAACAATTTTGTTTTTCCTTTGATGTGTCCCCCCGTTTGACGGATTCTTTTTGTTTGCTTTAAGTTTATTTTATACAAAAGTTTAGGTCTTTTATTTATCAATTGAGGCACTACGAAGTCTGCCGGGTCAGCTAGTTAAATATAAAAAAAATTAAATGAATTCCTACATGTTTTTTCATCGGTGTCAACTAAGTCAAAGCTAGGTCTAAATTGTGAAGTAATGCATTAAATAAACTGATAATATCCGCTTGCACTATCCGCGCAGACATGTTTCAAATATTGCGTAATGGGATGTTAATAGCTCTAAGTCGGTATAGTTCCACAGTAATTACTTTACACATGTTCGACGTTAACTACGAGACGAACATTTAGCGGTTAGTAATTACAACATATTGGAATGAGTAAATCTATGCCGTTCATCAACATCTGGAGGTTTATTAGGCTTCCGAGTAACTTTAATGTCTTAATATTTTATTTGTATTGCTTTTTTTTTCCTTTGAAAATCTGACTGCGGATAAATCGTTTCCTGTTGAAATTTGAGAAGTTTCCCGAGCGTTATTACATGTTCTTCTTCAAACGAGGCTTGTGGAGAGTATTAAGCGGTAGGCAGCAGCTTGGCTCTGCCCCTGGCATTGCTGAAGTCCATGGGCGACGGTAACCACTCAACGTCAGGTGGGCCGTATGCTCGTCTGCCTGTAAGGACAATAAAAAAAGTGAGACTTAATTAGGCTGTGATATGTGATATACGTATCCTATTCAATGAATGATTAGTTTTGCAATCCAATGCCTCTTGTAATCTTAAAGGATACATAGCTAAGACTCCAGACGTCCTTCGATTATGCCGTTGTTAATTCTTGTACCGTGTACATTTATCTGAATGGTCATAAATTACAAGTACATACTCGATAAATACTTCGAAGATGAGGCAGTATAGTTCAAATCTAAACCGCTAAAGTTATAAATTTGGTAAAATAATAAAAGAACCAGGGATATAAACTAGATAAAGGAATAAATTCTGAATACGAAGACAGATCGTATTGTTGATGACTCCAGAGAAGCTTATGTTGAAATTGGGAAATTGAATCGTGTACATTGCGCGTTGGGGTCAATGGTCGTGTAAGACGGTCTTGTTTATAGAATACCTCCGCTTTCAACTGCGAACAAAATATGTAGTAACAAAACGATACGAGGGTATTTTTTTTATTTACTTCGCCTTTTACTCATTGTGGAATTATTTTTTTAAGGCCTCTTTTTAATAATGCCCCGTTCGATCATGTCTGCAGTTGGCTTGACCAATGCAAAAAACATTACGCCGTAGCATTGTCAAGTTTTACTATATTTTTTGTGTAGCCAGTTTCTTGTTAGCGATGACATATGGTAATGAGACGTGGTCGCTCGTAAGGTGCCTTTTCAGAAGACTCAACGTCAAATAAAGAGTGATGGAGAGTACTATGCTCTTTTCTTTAATATGGATTTGGAATGAATTGGTCGATACTGTAGTGACATAGTCTAGAAGATTTCGGGATTAGAGTGGATACGAAACGGGCGTATTGCTCGTAAAACAGATGTCCGATATAACCAGAAAGTTCTTAAGCAGTGGACGTATACCGGATGGTATAGCGTGAATTGGCTACCCACAAGTTGGGCCGAAGACCTAATGACATTTACAGGAATCAGCTGGATGCGTGCAGCGTAAAAACCTCTTTGGTTTTGGTTAGCATTGATGGATCCCTACATCTAGCAATGGACTTCTGTGTGGGCTGATGATGAATAAATACAGATTTACTAATGTGCAACTTAGCGATATGTATATAAAATAAGGTGTCTTTGCTCTGATGGTATTATTTCCTCTAGACAGCCGCTTATAGAACTCACATCTATGTTAACTGATTACGTATTGTTTTCAATTTTATTTGTGTTTTACAAACACCGATATAGAGTTATACCTACTGCTTAAAAAGAGCGTCTTACGTGTGTTTAACGACTTCCGTAAACTCGGTCAATAGTACGCATGTACTACTCAAAGGGCACATAATACATGTTTGTTATATTCACATGTAATTATACTAAATTAAAGTATTACATAACGAAGCGGATTAAATAAATTAACATATAATTAAAACATACGAAGATAAAGTCAACTCTAGGGTTATCCCCTTACTGTTGCTGCAATGCATTAATAAAAATTACAAAACGTTATGTTATTAATATCATAATTAACATGGAACAATTTGTATTCATATGTAAAATGTATTCATATGTAGATGTCATGACAATTAAAATAATCGCTACCATGTTCAAAGCATTTTTTTTTTTTTTATTGAGATTGAAAATTTAAAATGCCATCGTCTGATTAAGCAAATACATCAACATCATGCCCCACATTTCGGTTGATAGCGACCAGCATTCAAAACTGTTATGCGAGAAATCAGAAAATGTAAAACTGAATTTTAAATAAACCCTAGATTAGGTCGTCAATTTTTTTATTATATTTATAAGCCACCGGCAAACATCTTGAAAAATACAAGATTCTATTATAGTTGTATTTATTGTGACCTTCACTGACTAACGTTTTTAAATTGAATTATAATTTATATAACAGGTCTGGGTGTCCAGCCGATTGGATATGGATCGTACCACCCATGTCATCGTCCATAACCCCGGTGTTTCACCAAGAAATGGCGCTCTACTACTTGAAACCTTCATACGAATATCAGGTAAAATAGTCTTCGAATAGTCTTCGAAAGCCTTCGAAAAGCTTGCGGTAGGCAGTGGCTTGGCTCTGCCCCTGGCATTGCTGAAGTCCATGAGCGACGGTAACCACACACCATCAGGTGGGCCGTGTGCTTCGTCTGCCTACAAGGGCAATAAAAAAAGTCCTCACTGTCGCAGAACAAATCGAAGAAAATGAAATTTAGATAAGAATCGTTCTGATGCTTATGATCAATACAATAGTCATAAAGAGTTTACGGTATTTCGTTTCATCAGGAGCCTGCATGGAAGACGCATCAGTGGCAGAAATCTAAGCCGATCACAGGCAAAAGACCCATAAACAGAAAGTTCCATTTCAAGCAAATTGCCCGAGCTGTCAAATTCACCTCGAAACTGTTCGGTCGTGCCCTTTCGAAGAGGATTAAAGCGACTGTGCTGTACGCTACGGAGACTGGGAAATCGGAACAATACGCCAAAGAGCTTGGTGTTATATTTGGACATGCCTTTAATGCACAGGTTAGTTTTAAAGGCTGCATTATACCTATTCAAAGGATTATCCACTGCTATGTAAATGTTCCATGGTCGTATTCTTCCACTTTTCCGTTAATAATTTTGGCATTTTTTTTTATTGCTAAGATGAGTGGACGAGCTCACAGCCCACCTGATGCTAAGTGGTTACTGGAGCCCATAGACATCTACAACGTAAATGCGCCACCCGCCTTGAGATATAAGTTCTAAAGTCTCAGTATATATTAGTTACAACGGCTGCCCCACCCTTCAAGCCGAAACGCATTACTGCTTCACGGCAGAAATAGGCGGGGTGGTGGTACCTACCCGCGCGGACTCTCAAGAGGTCCTACCACCAGTAAATTATTTTGTTTTTTATGTTATTAACAATAACAAATAATAATGATAAAACAAAATTTCTAAAGCGGTTAATATAACACATTCAATAAATAAATGCGCTTAACCGTAGGTTCATTGTATGGCGGATTACGATATAACTTCTATTGAACACGAAGCACTCCTTCTGGTTGTGACATCGACGTTTGGAAATGGTGATCCACCCGAGAATGGTGTCGTAAGTACTCCCAATTGAAACTACCATGAGAAACATTTAGATGATATTTGTTAACATTTAAATATTTATTAAAAATGATAAGCATGCTGCTACATAACTAATTATATTTATAGGCATTTGGAGAGCATCTATGCGAAATATTATACGCTGATCAAGTCGGTGAAGATTCTACTGGGTAAGTAGTTATGAATCCTATTAAAGAATTCATTGAATTAATCGTTAAATAAATATAATAATCGTAAATTATTTTTAGAAATCAAATGTTGACACCAAAATCGTTCATAAAAGCCAATAGTGACATTCAAAGGTATACAGCAGGAAATCCGAAAAAACTCAACAGACTCGAATCATTGAAGGGTAAGAATATCTCTTTACTTTTAAACTTCGGTTCTAGATAATAATAGAATTTAACTGAAAACCCTAAATTATAATATTACAGGTAGTACAACAGACGCCACATCCATTGACAGCTTTGGTCCATTGAGTAATGTTAGATTTGCCGTGTTCGCTCTGGGTTCGAGCGCTTACCCGAATTTCTGTAACTTCGGAAAGTATGTAGACAAATTGTTGGTTGACCTCGGCGGGGAACGAATCCACGACCTCGCAACCGGTGACGAAATGTGCGGCCAAGATCAGGCCTTCCGGAAGTGGGCCTCTAGCGTCTTCAACGTAAGTCTCTAACTTAAAATAATGTAACTAATTGATGACGGACCGCATCACTCGTTGCTATTGTTTGTTAACTCGTGCTTTATTGATGCAAATATAATTAGAAGTTGTCAAGCAAAACTTAGAAAAAAAATATACAAAGTCATTGTTTTTAGGTGGTCTTTTTTCTATCTATTGTTGGTCATTTAGATGAAGCCTGTCTGGACAACGGCCGGTGGGCTGCGGCTTTTTATCATGCGGCCCACAACGTATGCCTTCATCAGATAATAGTTTTGGATATAAATAGTTTGGATAATAGAATTAATTGTCAAAACATATAATCAATATTTGGTATAATTTATCTTTATTCTTGTAGTATTCCATTCCCATGACATCATTTAAAAGTTAAGCTATCTTTTACTATTATTTGGGAAATTCCCAGAAAAATGTATTTTTTTAAAACATATTTTCTGGGCAAAAGGTATGTAATTTGGACAGCCTTGATTTAGATCTTAAGAAAATTTTGGCGGTGGGCTTAAATAAATTATAAATCTGCTATTTTAGGTTGCTTGTGAGACATTTTGCTTGGATGACGATGAGACTCTACAAGAGGCAAAGAGAGCTCTTGGTACTGTTGCATTAAGCGAGGAGACAGTTCAATTCGCCAGGGCCGGCTGTCGTCCCGCTACGTTACACGCAGCGCTACAAAAGTCTTTGAATAAACAATTCGTTTCTTGCACCGTCAAAGCTAATAAAGATTTAGGCGATGCCTCCGCTGAAAGATCCACCATCTTTATTGATCTGGAACCTAAGGTCGGTTTGATACAAATAAAAATATGAATTCATTAAACAGATAGAGAAAATCATTAGTGATTTATGTTCGTAGGAGGAAATAAAGTATAATCCAGGAGATCATGTCGGAATAATAGCTTGTAACCGTAAAGAGCTCGTTGAGAGTCTGCTCTCCCGCATTAAAGACGTTGATGATTACGACGAGCCGTTGCAGTTGCAGCTTCTGAAAGAAACTCATACGTCAAGCGGTAAGAGAAAAAATACCAATGTTTTATGTATATGACGTACTAAATAAAATTTGCATTTCAAAAATGAACATGTGATCAATGACCAATCGACAACTTTGATTATTTTATTTACTACGTAGACAAGTGAACGAGCTCACGATCCATGTCATGTTAAGTGGTTACTGAAGCCCATAGATATCAACAACATAAATGCCGCCACCCATTTTGAGAGATGAGTTCTAAGCCTAAGTTCCATAGTTCAACCGTTGCATCACCCTTCAAAGTGGAATACATGGTAACAACCCGTGGGGGTTCACAAGATGCCTTAACAAGAGCATAACAAATTATAATATAATTCTTGTAGATTTGGTTTTATAACGCTACGTCACTCCTACATCATAGTCACTCGTGAACGTGAGCTAAGTACGTATTTCATTAGGAAAATTGTTACCTACTGCGGAATACGAACACCGGTATAGTGATATCGCTTTATAGGAATGCATCGGACATAAAGGATGAGCCTATAAGACTATGACATTTAATTAATATACAAAAAATCGTTAAATAATGATTATTATGCTTTATACCTTGACATAGGTTTAGTCAAATCTTGGGAGCCCCACGAGAAACTTCCGATAATGAGCGTGCGTGAATTGTTCACACGATTCCTTGATATAACTACTCCACCGACCACGATACTTCTTCAGTACTTGGCCACAACGTGCGAAGATGAAGAAGAAAAAAAACAATTGAATGTTTTGGCTACGGTAGGATTATTTACCTTATGTTTTTTTTTATAACTAAAGACAATTTTAGCTCAATTCAAAGGGCTTTAAAATTTTTCAATTGTCTTTTTTTAAACATTGGTATTTAAATATTTTCAGTCGTCCGTGACTACGAAACTACGTCTAAAATAATAAAATACGGGAGATGAAATTCTAAAAGTAGTATTAACTTTGTCGTCAGTAGTGTAATGTTGTAAACATTGTGTTATTTGGAACAGGATCCCGGAGCTTACGAAGATTGGCGTCATTTCCACTTCCCCACCTTGCCAGAAGTCCTAGATCAGTTTCCATCAGCAAGACCCAATGCATCTTTACTTGCCGCCCTTTTATCCCCACTGCAGCCAAGATTTTACTCAATTTCTTCGTCACCATTAGCCCACGCAAAGAGATTGCATCTTACGGTTGCCGTAGTCACATATCGAACTCAAGGTCAGTCAAAGTATTTTTAGCTTTACACGTGAACATTATAATCCATTAATGTTTTATAGTTTAATAATGTACATTCCTACATAAATTGCGCTGGGTTCAACTGAATCCGTTTACAGTATAAGCTATTTTTGTGTGCGTCTAATTTCGTTCGTGGTGACTAAAATTAGCTTGGATATTATTTATGATTAATATGTGCGATTGATTATAGATATAATTTTAAATAATCATTTTTGATCAGATGGTGAGGGACCGGTCCACTATGGTGTGTGTTCCAACTACTTAATGGAACGTAAGCCTGGCGACGAGGTTTACCTCTTTATCAGAAGGTACTTAAGGTTGATTTTTCAATTTAATTGACAGTAAGGTATGAAATTGAAAATCTATAATTTCCAATTTTTATTTCAGTGCCCCTAACTTCCATTTACCTCAAGATTTGTCAGTTCCTCTTATACTGATCGGTCCCGGTACTGGTATAGCTCCATTCCGTGGCTTCTGGCATCATCGGCGAGCTCTACAAAATTCTTGCTCGCGTACAACCACTGGACCGGTGTGGCTGTTCTTCGGCTGTCGAACAAAGACTATGGACTTATACCGAGAAGAGAAAGAGCAAGCTTTGAAAGAAGGCGTACTTTCCAAAGTATTTCTCGCTCTATCTAGAGAAAAGGAAGTTCCAAAAGTAAGTTTGATGATTGTGACTAATGAGTAAGTAATGATCTCAAAATTCACAATTCTTGTAAACTAGAACTTATGATATGCTTATGAACCTATCTGAATTTGATATGATTTTAGGAATTTAGATACCACTAACTGTGTTTCCTCTTTAGGCATGCAAATGTACTTTCGTTTAATACTTCAAAAAAGTATTAACAAAAATAAAACATACGAAAATTACAGATGTACGTCCAAGAAGTTGCTGAAAACGTTGGTGCAGAAATACACGATTTACTAATTAATAAAGGTGCACACTTTTACGTTTGCGGTGATTGTAAAATGGCGGAGGATGTGCACCAGAAGCTCAAAGGTATCGTGAAGAAACACGGAAACATGACAGACGAACAAGTACAGAACTTTATGTTCATGCTAAAGGTGAGCACATAAAACTATATTGATAGTCGGTTTTCAGCAATAACATAACATAACGTGGGGTGCTTTTCAGGATATTATCAAAATAATCCTTCTAGTCATATCTGTTCTACTGATACCATGCACCCCACGCTTTTTTTACAATAAAATCCTGTTTTATTACACTATTTTTAATTCAAATTTATTAAAATTTATTTTCTATTTTTTAGTTGGATTTTCTATAAAAGCGTATTTTGTTAGTTTTTTAAACTATTATTTATTTTTCATTTTTTAGTTGAATTTCAATTTCTTTAACTTTTTTAAGTTTTTTTTTTAATATTGTATCGTCATCGGTCCTTAATAAGTATACGAAATTTCGAGTTAATTCGACGTTTTGAAGGGGGTCAAAATCATGTTCAAAGATTCCGTTACATACATACGTCTGAAGCTAATAAAAGCGTATTAAAAATTAAATCGAAAGATCCACGTTGATTTTACAACTACCCTCATTTTTATTTTATGTATATTTATCGTTAGGAAGAGAATCGTTACCACGAAGACATATTCGGCATCACACTGCGCACAGCTGAGGTCCACAGCGCTTCTCGCGAGTCGGCTCGTAGGAACCGCGTCGCTTCCCAACCATGACGGCGGTCCTCTCGCTTCCGTCCCAACACGCTCATCTAACCAACCGAATACTGCATCAAGGTTATCCTGTGAGCGACTACATTCATATTCGACTAAAATATTTAAATTATCTTCATTCTAAATTTAAAGTCTTCAAAATTTTTTAATTACATCGCAAAGCTTTAGGCGTGTACCGACCCTAAAATCATGTCATGGCTGAGTTTAATATATCCATTGTACCTAAGCTACAGTGCCATATAATATGTATAAAGTTTTACACAGAACAACATTGTCTTCATCTATATTTTATGTTTTGATATAATTTTACTTTTGAAACAGATAAATTGGATCACTTTTGCACATTTAGATCTTAGTTAGTATTCTTAATAGCTACAAGAACATCAACTCCATACGTACTATTATTATATTGTTCACATACGTACATTAAAAGTTGCTGGTTTCTGTAGGCTTTCACAATATTTTCAATTCAAATGTCTTTTACGAAATTCATGATTCTCTAAATTTTATAGTGTATATGCCAAAAAAAAAAAAGTTAATACTGGCTCTAAGATAATTGTGAGTACACACTTAAAATAGTTAAGCGTTCATTCATAAATTTTGGGTATAAAATTAATTAATTGTGAAATTCTCGAAAAATATTATTTTTCCTCTGAAACGTTTGCAACTAAATGTATAGAGATAAAATATCTAAACCTATTTCGTTTATCATAAAAAAATTTATCTCGAAATTGTAAATTAAGAAAACATTCTTTCATAATTATCTCCCCTTCATGCCTTGCAATTAAACTTATTTTATTATATAGATATTTATTTTTTGACAATACCTACAACATTATTTATAGTATGTACACTATATAGCTCAAAGGCTTTAGTCGATAATTGTAATTGTGAAGTCAATTAGGGAAGTTCACGAAATGTCTATTTGTTTTACCAAGCAGTCCATTTTAATTGACCCTTGAATTTAATTGGTTGAGAATCGTTCCAATGGCTGTATTTGAAACACTTGAATAATTCAACTTATTATATTAGGTGTAATAATATAGTTATGCTACAGTTATTACCCTTCAAATTTATTGTACTAACATTTTTCTTAAAAGCGCAGGGTGTCGTAACAACGCACAAATCCATTGACCCTTATTGTATATTTCCGCATATCAGCTTCGCGATTCAAGTATTATTAAAAAAAAAATTGGATATCTCGTATCCTTTCGAAACCTAAGAATTTACCAATTACGTAGTATCTAGATGTAATCTTTATCTACTATATAAAATATTACTTTTAATAAAACTCATTTATTATATGTATATCGTGTCCATTAAAAATCGCTAGTAGATAGTTTGAAATTTTTTACTAGATAATAATTCAAAGTTTTTCAAATAAAATTTTAATTATTATCTCGCTTAATTGTTATCTAACGAATTATAAAAATTTATTCGTCTAGTTTAAGGGAAAAAAAAATTCAGCTGAATGCTATTTAATTTTGTATTTTAAAATGTTTGCGGAACCAATTTGATGTAAGATTATCATAACTTACATTATTCATNATAATTCAAAGTTTTTCAAATAAAATTTTAATTATTATCTCGCTTAATTGTTATCTAACGAATTATAAAAATTTATTCGTCTAGTTTAAGGGAAAAAAAAATTCAGCTGAATGCTATTTAATTTTGTATTTTAAAATGTTTGCGGAACCAATTTGATGTAAGATTATCATAACTTACATTATTCATTCATATTTCGTATATATTTTTTTTTTTTATTCATTTATAATACGTATTGGTCTGTTTTATCTTTCAAAATGTGTAAATATTTTATATTAAGTGAGCTTTATTGTTATATTTTAAACTTGTGATTTAATAATATTTACTATATAATATTAAAAATAATTTTCTATTTACTTTGTATATTATGAAATTTTAATGTATTTTTTTTAATAAATTTTGAAATTAAGCTGTGTTTGCGATTTTTTAATCAGCTCTAAAACGTATTTTTTTTTTTAATCAACTTTGTGATTCTTTGCCTAGTCTTATGAAATTATTCATATTTTATATTATTCATAGTATCATGTAAGATCAATTTGTCTACAATTTCTTGCTATAAATGGTATAAAAAATTCTTAATATAAATAAATTAATGACGTATTGTATTACGATTAAGAATAATATTTACAAAAAGTATTAATTCAATTATCCTTATAAAAATGAAAGGCACGTTTAAAAGTGTATTAAAATTAAAATTATAATAGAAAAAAGTTTTATCGGAAATCATATCATAAAACATTGATTGTATTGCACTGTTTACTCTTGTAATAACTGTTTCAATATTAAATAATGTAATGATGAAAAAGTATATTTGTCTGTTATTGGTCAAATAAAGTTCCTTCGTATTCGATAGGTATTTTATTCATGAAATCCTTTTTCTCCTTTTTGTTTATATTCAACGACTTGAATCAATTCATATTCTAACTACGAGCAATGTGTGCGTACCTACAGAAATCACCACTCAGCCTACGTCTAATATACTCGTGTGGCTTAGGTAAGAATATAACTTAAACCGTTGATAAGCGTAATAATATTTACTAGAGGTCCCGCAGTAGTCGAAATTCGAATATAATTAATTGGAATTGTAAGTTTGTACACTATTAAGATTGTATTTTATACATCTATAATCACAAATTTCGCCAAGACTACACTATAAAAAAAAAATTAATCTATTCTCAATTTGACCACAGACGTCAAAAGTTTGACAATAAATAGTATCCATGCGTGTGTGCGTCAAATACATGGTATGTAGTGTGTGTAATGTTTTCTTTATTGATTTAATGTATCTTTTATGCATTATTTTAAAAAGATATTAGCATTGTGCACTTCTTTTCTATATTCTCTATAAGTGTGGAAAATTTCATACTTTTCCGTACGCGCAATTTTCGTAAAAAGGGATACAAAGTTTTTGCTTCACGTAGTAATATATAGATAACTATACTAGATGACCCGTCAGACTTCGTAGTGCCCAATCGATAAATAAAAGACCTAAACTTTTGTATAAAATAAACTTAAAACAAACAAAAGGAATCCGTCCGACGCGGGACACACCGAAGGAAAAACAAAATTGTTAGTTTTATTTAATTCCGAAAATTTTCATATTTATTTACCTTTTAAACCTTCTCTGGACTTCCACAAATCATTCAAGACCAAAATTAGCCAAATCGGTCCAGCCGTTCTCGAGTTTTAGCGAGACTAACGAACAGCAATTCATTTTTATATGTTTAGATGATATTTCTCTAATTTGTTCAAAAGAAAACAATTTAAAATAATACTTTCCTAATATCGAAAACTAAGTGAAAACACTGCAAAAATCTACAACAATACAAAAAGTAATCCACTCGATCGAGTTTATTTTTTTGACACAACGGAAATTATACTTCTCTGATTTTAAGCTTTTGGACTAAGCCTATGGTGAGTGTGAATGTTACTATGTTAGGAATTGCAATACGCAAGCATTAAAACTTTGGTTTAGGTCTTGTGGAAATAAAGCTAAAATAATTGACACAGTACATACCTTAAATACTTTATGTTGGCTCTAAATAGGGCTATAGTTTGTTGAAAATAATTTAGGCACAACTGCTATTGCTGTTTCTCTGTCATTGCTCAGTATAGAAATGGCACGCTTATACTATATATATTACTAGCTTTTTCCCGCGACTTATCCGCGTGGAAGTTATTTTACCATAACGCTAAATTTTACCCGCGACTTCATATACGTAGAAAGTGAAAATATTTTTGAATAATAGAATATTAAGGAGCTATTTAAGGAACCAAAATCACGCTTTTTAATCGACTTCAGAAGAGGAGGTTATCAATTCGAGCGCAATTTCTTTGTCTATGTATGTTCACCGATTTCTCGAGAATGCTTGAACCGATTCTGACAATTCTTTTTTATTTTTTTTTGTTCGAAAGGGTAGACTTCCCGAATGGTCCTGTAATCATCAAGATTTGATAATGGGATCCTGGAGAAATCCGGAAAATTCTACAATTTTCAAAGCCTATCTTGAAGTGATTTGAGTGTTTCTTGTTATTCTTCTTATTCTGTGCCGCCGCGCACCAGCCGGACGGCGCATTGTACATCAATATTACGCGCTTGATGATTTTTTTGCTGCGATGTGATTTGAAAACTGCAATTTATTCTCACACTCATTAAAATACTTATAGCGAGATAGATTAAAATCAAGTGATCATCATCGCTCTTGAATTTTCTCGAGTCAATTCCATTTTCTCAACGACTAAACAAGTTTGACAAAACCGCGTGACAAGACCGAGAATCTTTTTTTAAATAAATAAATGGTATTCGATTTTTAAAACCAAGGTTTTCAAAAAGTTTTTAAATGGCATTAAAAAGTTTTTAATATGACAGGAACAGTGGAAATATTCCATTCCCGATACTTTTAGTGCAGCCTAGTAGCCTTCCTCAGTGAATGGGCTATCTGACACTGAAATAAATCCGACCAGTACCTAGTTCCTGAGATTAGCGTGTTCAATCAAACAAACAAACAAACTCTTCAGCTTCATATTATTAGTATAGATTTTGGATTTATTTAGATTAATTCACATAGCAATTCGTTTAACACATTGTTAAGCCCAGACATAATGTAGCCGAGATGTTTAAGTATCTCTGTCATTAAGACGATATTGTCCACAAATCGGAAGTATGACAGGTAATTGATACTCGTATTGATGTTATTATCCTCTTAAATTCAAAGTAACGCATAACAAAAATCAGAACGGATAAAGGAGAAACCCCATTTTGGGCCTAAGCGTTACACGAATGGGATATGTACCAAAAAATTCGTCTATTTTGCTTGATTAACCTATTGAAATCTTAGCTTCATTGACAATGGTCAAGTGTAGAAAATAAGTTGAATTCAATTTTTTGTTTTAAACAATCTTTGTAAACATCTGCAACACTTATTTCAATATACGTAACTAACTCCACAAACGTGCGG